CTAGGAAGATAGCTCAGTGGAATAAGTACTTGCTTAGAAGGCACAAAGTCCCGAGTTCAATCACTGGTACCACCAAAAGTATTTTAACAAGGTAGGAAAATTTCTGATATAATTCCATTGACATATTTCGAACAAGCACTTTCAATTCAGTACAAAATAATGAGCTTTATGTTAGTTATTTTAGACTCATCCAACAAAAGTGAGTAATCTATTCAGCGCTTTCTTCAACTTTCATACTCTTGCTTCTGATTGATCTTGTCAACTTTCTGTACATTCAACTGAGTTCTTTATTTTCTACTTATTGATGCTTTCATTTCAGGATTCCAGTTGTTTATTATAAGTACTTCTATCTCTTTACTGAACTGGTTTTTCATATCCTTCATTGTCTTCTTTTATTCAATCCACTATTTTTTTATTTGATCTCATTAATCATTTTAACTTTTATTTTTAAAAATTCTTTGCCTGGAATATTGTTGTATTGTTTAGATTTACTGTCATTGACAGGGACTACTAAATATCCATGATTTAAAGAAAGAGGTTTCAAATGAGTATTTTCTTGTGATGTCAGTCCACGGTTTATTGGTTTCAAAGTAGAAATGCCATAGCACACGTGTTTATCAGAGGATAGCTACTTCCCCCAGAGCTGCAAAGAGGCAGAGAGAGATGGTAGGATTCATGGGAAAGAATACAACAGTTCAGGGCAGGCCCTCATGAGCCACCTCCAACCAGGGCCAACTACCCAATCTACCCAATGTTACTTTCAGCAACTGAACTAAGTAGTGAATTCTCTTATAAACATAGCACTCAAATCATCAAATTACTTTCTAAACACAGGAGACTTTAGAGATGAATTTTAAATGTAAATCATATGCTATTCCCCTTGGTCTTCACGAAAATTCTGTCCATGTCATTAAGTAAGATGCTTTTGGGCCATCTCTAACAGTTGTCAAATTTTTAATAGTTTCAAAACTGCTGAAAATTTGAAGTCCTAATCTCTCTGAACTCAAGGCAGATGTTTAGCTGTGAAGCCCTAAAAAATCAAAAAGTAGTGCTCTCTTTAGAAGCAAATATACTAAAATTGGAATGATACAGAGAAGACTTGCATGACACTTGTGCAAGGATGACATGCAAATTAGTGAGACATTCTATGTTTTTAAATTCTTTAGATTTTATACAACCAGAAACAAGTGGATGTTGAAGATGGTGATGAATTTTATAATCATTTGCTTAATATAATAAAAATGAAATTCTAAAATAAATCAACAGATAGTGAAGTTAAACTCATCTGCATATGTTGTAAGGTAATAATAATAAGGTTCTCTTCAGGAAGGTTAACGACTTAATATTACAGACCAAAAACTAGAGAAAAAGAAGGGCTGCGGGG